ATACATACACACATACATACATACATACATATATACGTGTGTATATACATACTATAGTCCTCTAAATGACACACACAAACTTATTTTACAGTAACAACAGCCAGGCTAAGCAGTGCTTTAAGCAATGTCTGTGTATAAGTTCACTTACTGCTCATCAAATCCCTAGACAATGGGTATGCCACCGCCCTCGCTCCCAGAGCACACTGAAGTAGGATAAAAGGAAGGAACTTTATTCCTTGTGCCTTCTTCTGTTTTCTGCTGTTAATGACACCAGACCACAGGGCTGGTAGCTAACAGAGAAGAGTTTACTGTAGGCTCACAATTCTAGTTCAAAGTCAAGGGTCAGATCCGTTTTGACCCTCAAGAGTGGTGAAGTGATTCGGGCTTCACATGGTGAGAAAGGAAGCAGAACAGACTTGGCCAAGCCGACTGTGAGAGCAGCCCCACTTAGGGGCTAACTCATTAACCCTTCCATCAACTAGTCATGTAAAGACTAATCACCTCCTTAAGAGTTCTCCCACTAGAGCGGGAGGCAAGGAGGGAGGGGGAACTGGGATTGCAATGTAAAAAAAAAAAGTAAAAAATGAATTAACTTTAAAAAGAGAAAAAAAGAGTCCCCCTCCTATTCTTTCCTGATATAGGCTGCACTCCACCATGAGTTTTGGATGAGATAAACTGTGGCTCCAAAGGACGCTGTAACGATAATCGACACAATTACTGAAAGTAAAACTACGTATTTATTGTAGAAATTACTCACAAGATACCAAACAAGTAACCCAGATGAGCCAAGTAGTGCCCACCCACGCCCCCACCCCCACCCCCACCCCCGCTGCCAAACCGGAAGCCGAACTCTGGGAAAAGAGACGGAGACTTCCTATGTGCTGTCTTTTATGCCTTCCCCCTTAACGCCCCCTAGCCATGCCCAAAAGTGGGCCTGGCTAGTGACATAGTTCACCGCCTACATACGTATACATTTTTACGTCCAGCCATATACGTCTTTAGTCATGCCTAAAGTGGGTGTGGTTAGCGGTGTGGTAAACCGCCCTTTTATTACCTCATCTGTATGCGCCTCTAGTAAGTCACATGTTTAATGGCGGCATACAGACTTCCTCCTACAATAAGCCATAGCTCTCTCATAATAACAGTCAGGTTTTGACCAGCATGAACGAAGTAACAGGCTAGAGTCCTTGCCATGATGAACATAGTGCCCACTTCTGGGGTGCAACAGCCACAGAGGCCGTGCCTGAGCATAAGGAGGGAACATGTCAGCAGACACAAGCTGAGAGAAAGCATACAGAACAGCAAGCCAGCTGAATTCAGGAGTATCAAGGTCAAGAAGTTGAGGAAAGTCCAAGGAAGTCTGTTTGGATAACAGGTATGCCCAGCCTATAGGCCATGGACAACATGAAACCTAGGATAGCCATGAATGTGACCCAACCATTTGCCATGTAGATTCCTAACTCCAGAAATCATGTGTCACCCAAGCAGGCTTGCTGTGAAGTATGGACGGGAAAGCTGCCCCCAGGTTCTCTTGATGGACAAAGTCAAGAACTATATATAGTATGCACATTTGCGTGTATGTGTGCACAAGACACAGTTTCGTGCTGATACGTCTAAGTTAAATCCTTCTGGATTCCTCCCTTTATATTTATACATATAGCATGCACATTTGTATGTACATGTGCACACACAGACACAGTTTTGTGCTGATAAGTCTAAGTTAAGTCCTTCTGGATTCCTCCCTTTTCCTGTTCTCAATTTCCTTCTCTCATGGATGTCACGAACATTAGTATATTTATAGTATGGCCATCCTCTGACTGGGTCCATTCCGCTGTATGTGGTCTAACACTCTCTTCACACCACTGAGACTACCACAGCCCCACTGGAATCCGCCCCCTGCCCAGACTCTACCTGCTGGCAAAAGGCACTTCTCTCTGTGAATGCTTGCTCCTCCCTCTGCCTCTAATACCCAGCCAGACTTCTCTTCACAGGCTATACCCTGATGGGGAATGTTCTTCAGTATACATGTGTCTCTTGTTGGTTCATAGATAAAACACTGATTGGCTGATTGACCGGACAGGAAGTGACGTAGTTGGGCAGAATCAGGATATAGGCAGAGACAAACAGGAAATTGCTCTCTTCTCTGCAGAGATGATGAGTACTCATCATGTAGCAAGCAAAGGACTTGCAGGTCCAGCATTCCCCAGTAAGTCAAGACCACGAGGAAATACATAGATTGATGGAAATGGGTCAATAATTAAGACAGAGCTATCTAATAAAAAGCTCAAGCCATCAGCCAATAGCTTTATAATTATTATGGCATCCGTGTGCTTCTTTGGAGCTGAGAAGGGCATAGGGACCGGAGCCTTGGGACCAGGCTGGTGGGAAGAAGGCTCGATACAATACCCTCCTTCACCATTCAGGCCCCCAGACCAGGTACCCTCCTCTCCTGGCAGCCGCCTTCTGTAGGTTGGCTCTTGCGCCATGCAGGTAACACTCACATCCTGAACATGGCAGCTCAGTCCTAAGACCTCATGATTCAGAAAGAGGGAAACGAAGTGCAGAGAAAGCATTTTGCTAATACTTAAATGAGACAGATAAATTTGCTAAATTGGATACAAAATTTTCCATTACTTCATACTGTTTTTTACACTTTATATCATGTTGGGGAAGTTCTGTGCATTTGTCAGTAAAGCACTGTCTGGCCTATAGGGAATCTAGATCATGATCCCCATGGTATGAACAGCGCCCCCCTTCCAGCATCAAGCAGTTTGGAATGAGCAACGTCCTAATTCCCCTCTTGTTTATAAACCTTTGTTTTCATTTAAATGGGATTGTTTATAATTGGCTAGTGATCACAGCCAATCTTTTTAATGGTAAAAAAGGGAATTATGGTATGGGTATTGTTTTTCATTCATTGATACAAATTCAAGGTCAATTTGGTGATATGTATATTTCTCCTCTTGATTAAGTATTGTGCTTATACTGATCTTTTAAAACATAATGCATAATTGAATACAGACTATAGATAGTTACTTATAATAGAATTTATAGTTAGGTAAGTTAGGTTTTCTAGATATACAGAAATATATTTGAGATAGATAAACAGTCTTCAAACCTCTCAAAGACCTTCAGAAAATGGCATTTAAAATAGTTTAGGGTTTTTCTTGACAATGAGAAATGTCTGCTCTTGGCAGCACCAATTACGTCTGAGAGGAAGATGGGCATCGAAGAAACTTGTTATGGAGTTTGCTTTCAACATGGCAAGATTAGCCATTTGGGCAAGAAACTGCTCTTGCCTGTACTGCTTGACCGTTGTTGTATAATCTGTACATGCAGGACCCACAGAAAAGTGACTGCTAAACTCAGTCTTACAGGGTTCCTGCTTCATGAAGAGTCTATGAGACTTTCTGTAGGACACAGAGAAATGACTGACAGATTCCCAATGCAGATGGACAGTTTGAAATTTCCTGCTTTGCTGAGAAGTGTTCCAGACACATTGTGGCCTATGGGCTGAAGATGGATGCCCCAACGTTACAGAGGAACTTTGGGTGACTGTCCAGGTAGCAAGATGTCTTTGTCAATCCTAGTGATTATATATTATCCTTCTGTAGTCTTTGATGGAGTTGAAGACAGATAGTTATAATTATAGTTTTCCTTAGTTATGATAAAAGATAAGCTACATAGAACTTTGGACTCACAAGGATGGGATGGATGATATTTTCTTTAAATCTAGCTGAATGTTGATAGACAAAATATTGTAACTGTATTCTTACTTGATAACTGTTCTGTTATATATTATTTGACTATGTTAAAGTTAAGACCTTTATTTTTGTTTAAACAGAAAAGAGGAGATGTTGGGGAAGTCCTGTGCATTTGTCAATAAAGCACTGTCTGGCCTATAGGGAATCTAGATAGGAGGGACTAGGAGTCCAGGAGAACTCTGGGAAGGAGAAACACAAGAGAGTCAACATGTAACACCATGGGGTAGGAAGCCCGGAACTATTCTCCGGTAAGAGACATACTTAGATTAACAATTATGGGGTAATTACTTAAATCAGAGCTAGCCAGTAAGAAACAAGCAAGGCCAACAGCTTCATAATTAATATAGCCTCCTGTGTGTTTATTTGGGACTGATGCGGATCTAGAACCAGGCGGGCGGGAAGGTTTCTCACAAAGAAAAGGCTTCTTGTTACAATATCAGCCTCTAATAATGGGTAAAATAAAGGCAAACCATAGCTGGAAGCTTCTCTCCCACTTGCCAGTTCCCAAATAACCACTGGGAGACTTAATACTAATTATAATTGTTTGGCCAATGGCTCAGGCATATTACTAACTAATTCTCACAATTAAATTAACCCATTTCCACTAATCTGTGTATCACCACGTGGTCATGGCTGACCAATAATGCTCCGGCATGTTACTCCTCCGACAGCTACATGACAGCACCCTGACTCTGCCTTCCTTCTCTCTGTATCTCTGGATTTCCCCCCAGCTATATTCTGCCTGGCTATTGGACAAATCTGCTTCTTTAATAATCAACAGTAATAAAACATACTCACAGCATACAGAGGGACATCCCACATCAGCAGACATTTGAAAAACACATTATGATATAGAGAAATATTGAAAGTTCTTATAGAACTACACATTCGGATTTGCCCCCACCCCTTCTATACATACTTGCCTCTACTTAGAAATCTCCATGGCTTGACTTCAGATATCAGAGGCCAGAGAACAAATGTAGAACTTTAGAAGGAAACTCATTTATGATATTTTTAAGACACAGTGCAGTATGTAGCCCAGGCTGACCACCAACTTCAATTTTGACTCCGCCTCTCAAGTGCAAGGATTGCAGGATTATCTTATTGCAGTGTTGATGAAATTAAAGTTATCTTAACACGTTCCTCACCATCACCACTGGGAAACCTTCAGTGAGATGATCATAAATGAAGCAGAAAACAGACGTGTTTACCTAAAATAGCCCAGCTCAATCTTACCCTAGAGAAGATATTTTCCAAGGAGGAAGTTAAGGATCTCTTCGCTTTGTTTTTCAGAATGTCAAGCTTGAACCGCCCACCACTTGTCGAATTTTCTGGGATTGTACTATTTGAAATAATCTAGAAGAGGAAAAGCAGCAAAGTTACAGTGCAGACACACTAGAGGTTAAATGATACTTTAAGTGAAGGCTTAGGAGTAGGCCGTTAAAAAAACACAAGCAATCTTAATTTATGTTCCACACTGTGAACACAAAAATGATAAGGAAAGGAGTTTACTACTGTAAGCAATAAAAAGGACACAACTAACACAACTAAACCTTCTCTCCATGCCTTTCCATGTCACTCACAAATTCCCAGTCCATTTACTGAAAGTGAAGCTTAGAATGACAATTTTTCAACTGTTTTTCAGTTGGCTACAACCATGCCTTTCTGAGGTGTCTGTTATGTGTTCCGATTACAGGGACAATAAGTTCCAAAGAGCAGACCACTCTGCAAGCCAAGCTGCAGGCCGATGAGGCTTCTGCTAAACTGCATTTCCAAGGCTGGAGAGTGGCTCAGTGGTGAAGAGCACTGGCTGCTTTCGCAGAGGACCCCGGTTCAGTTTCCAGCACACACGTGGCAGCTCACAACCTTCTATAGCTCCAGTTCTAGGGGATCCAGGGCCCTTTCCAACCCCCATGCATGTATGCATGCACACACACACAAAGAGAGACAGAGAGCGGGGGGAGAGGCAGACAAAAATACATGCAGGCAAAGCAATCATACACACAAAATAATAAATCTTTTTTAAAAAGTCTCCATTTTTATTTCTATGTGGCCATGTATTTTTCAGATATGCAAAGCTTCACCAAAAACCTGAACCAGTGAGGTGCCCACTGTTAGGTACTTTGTAGATTTTATCCAGTTACAGTCCTCTGCTGACATGGGAAGGTGAAGCTGGGGGGAAACCCTGAGTGGGCCCTCACGCACTAGATAAAAGTGGGAAATGTGGATGTAAATGCTAAGAAGAGAGGCATCTGTGGCGTCTGAGGGGAATTTATCTCCCAGGCATGTTTAAAAGCATGCAAAGGTCAGGGAAACCGGAAACCAGAAGAGCAGTCATCTCTGAACGCTGCTGGCTTCAGGCCCATGCAGGAGGCTCCGAAGGACCACTCCTGATCATCCCCAGTGACTTTGGAGGGGAGGGTGGGGTGGCTCGGCTGCACGCCTGACCACCCCAGTTAGATGCCTGGGAGGTCTGTGGAGAGAGAGAACTGACGCGTGCGTGATCTCCTCTGACCTATGCACTCGTGAACACTCAGAGTGAACCAAATGTATGAGAGTCAGAAGCAGTGGCATCGGCTGCAAAGTCAGACACAGTGATACGAGCCTCCAATTCCACCACTGGAGAGGCTGAAGCAGGATGAGCCCACATGGGGCGGGGGGGAGCCTGAGCTACATCTCAAGTGTCTCAACATCAAAAGAATGTGCTGGTGCAAAAAGTGTGGTGAAATACAAAACCAGGATTTATATGCATCCTTAAGAGCTACACGTGATTTTCTTTAAAAAAAAAACTGCACATATAAGAGGCTTCTTTAATGCTGTTGCAGTGGTAGTTTTTTGTTGTCTGTTTTTATCACTGTGCCGCTGAGAGTAAGTTCAAAGCTAGCGGAACAGGCATGCCGTTCTTCAGTTTACAATGGAAACAGGCATGCACGCAGAAGACAGCTGCCTGTTTCACCATTCAGATAAAACAGGCATAGGACTATAAACAAAAAAAGTAGATTAATGGAATTTTTAAAGTAGGTTGTCCCTGTTACCATTCAGATAAGACAGGCATAGGAATATGAAAAGACATAGATTAATGTCATTTAAAAGTAGGTATATTGTACATCATGAGCAAACATGAATGTCTTTTATCCTACCCAAATACCAAATTATTTTACATTTTGAAACTATAATGATTTTAACCCAACGTGCCAGTGTCTGCTGAAGTCTCCCATAAACTTCATAAAGGCTGAAATCTCTAAAGTGTGATAGGCTTTCACCCTAAAAAAGAGAGAGCATGAAGGAGAGCAGTTTCTTCCGTGTCTTGGTGATATTTGAACTACAAGCACAAATGAATACGCAGGCAGATGTCAGCCAGGAGGAAGTGGGCTCTCACCGATGGCCCTTCCCCGATGTGAACATGGGTCTTCTGCTTGGCTTCACAGAGCTGCCGCAGGTGGAGAATCACAAGTTCGTTCTCTTCCTGGTCACTGATGGGCTTCATTTTCTGTTGGGCAGAGGAAACAAGGGCACAGTAGGGCAGAGGCACTTCTCTCCTCCTGCCGTAGACTCAGTTAGACTTACATGTCCAGAGGAGGAATGAAAATCTAGCTTTTCCATCCTGCTAACCCTGGGGACGGATCCCTTAGAGGCAATGGGGTGGAAATGAGAATTCAGTGACAGGACCCAATGTCGTCCCTTATATATTATCTACGGGAACGGTGAAGGGTGTTACCTGAACGCGTTCAAAGATGTCAGCTTGCTCATTATCGGTCAGTGAAGAGAGGTGTCGCTGGATCACCAGCTTGGCTCGCGGTGGGTAGAGACCTGGAAGAAAAGGTGGGGGAAGCCTGAGGTGGAGGCTGGCCGCAGAGGCCTGAGTGTGCCTCGGACGTCACACTTCACGCTCCCTGAGCTCGCTCCTAACTTCTGTCTTCTCAAGAAGAGGACCCTGGAGCATGAGACCTGATGGCAAACCATCCTAGCGAAACCAACAGACCCCGCAGTGGGCCAAGACAGAGAACATCTATGAAGAATCCCAAATGCTGCCCAGCACCTCCAGCTTCCATTCACTAAACTCACAGACTGAGCACCACGAGAACTCCCATGGGAATGAGCATGGCAGCCAGAGCCTGGGTTAGTCAGAAAGTGAAAGAGAAAGTCCAGGGCTAGCCTGAACCCAAACTGCTAAGCGTCTAGCTTCAGATCAAAAATATAAACTAACAAGAATGACACTGGAATACAGAACTTCTGAAACAGGGATAATGCCCCTTCAGGGACTCCCATTCCAAAAGAATAAAACTTCATTTTAGGGTAATTATTCCATGAAATGTTTTACTTCTCTGTATTGTGATATTCATAAATCTTTCCAACTTTTTGGTTGTTGTTGAGACAGTCTCATTTTGCAGCCCAGGATAGCCTCAAGCTCTCCTCGCTCCAGCACCCTCACTGCTGCACAGCCCACCTTTCCAGATGTGCAGGGCTGTGCAGGGCACCTTTCCAGATGTGCAGGGCTATGCAGGGCACCTTTCCAGATGTTCCAAACCATCAATTCCAGCAAACATCCTACACTCTTACACATAATTCATATTAAGTCTCTGGAGAAATTTTTCCATAAGGATGTTTCTATTTTTAATTTTAAAAAAAGTTAGATTCACAGTTACAATGATCAAGTGACTGCCCAATCTAACACAATGCTGTATGCTTAGGTATCATTTTAAGTATTGCCACTATATTTTGATTATTAAAAAGATATCTAGATACATATAGTAAGGAATAAACTTTTAGACGGACTAGCAATGTTTTTAAATAATTTGGTATTGAACAAAATGGACCAGAGGGTAAAGGTGCTCGCTGCTACTTCGAACCCCAGAAACCACATGGCAGAAGCCACTCCTCCAAGTTGTCATCGGACGTCCACATGTGTGCTATGGCACTTGAGGATCCACACATAACAAATACATAAATAATATAATTTAAAAACTAAAAATGGTACTATCATTTTCAGGCTGTAGTAAATGTATTATACAACATTAAACCATAATTTTAGTTTTCCATGCACCTCTTATTTTTGTTTACCATGAAGAAGACAAAGTAGTCAACTAAAAATACTTTCTCGTGACTTAATTTGGTGTAACAGTTTAAATTCAAACACTGTCAATATATACGCGTACTGTCGAGCTTTATAACTGAATTTCCAAGAAGAGTGCAGAGTGACAGCTCAGTAAAGCAAAGAGATCTGTTCCCATGTTAGCTGTGTGTATACTGAGTGTGAAGGTGGTGAGCCTGTACACGCTCCGTGGGAGCTGAGCTCGTTCTTAGATGTCTTTTCTGTCTTCCTCCCACCTTATTGTGAAAAGCCATGGCAGCTTCAGCTCCACTGCCTTGCCACCTGGCCCCCAGGACACGTTTGTCTCTGCGCCCTTCCATCCTACAATGGGTTTATCTCTGCGCCCTTCCATCCTAGCAGTGGGTTCCAGGCTTATGCCACCGTGCCTACCATTTACAAGGGGGGTGGGGAGCCAAACATAGGTCCCAGTGCTTGCAGGGAAAGCAATTGGACCACGTAGCCATCTCCCCAGTCTCTACATCTTAGTTACTTTTTGAAAACTACCGGGATCTCTGCAGATAGCATGGCAAAGAAGACCTTTGTTCCCCCGCCCCCCCCCCCGCCAAAAAAAGTAGAATATGGTTCATGACTTTCAGGATTCGTGCACAGCTGGCTAACACAGGCCTGGCTACAACTGCAGCTGTCATAATTCAGTCTGTAAACAGGGACAAGGACAGTCACTTCTCAGCTCCACCTTGCTCCCCGAAGCATACCCAGCCTCTGTAGAGAGTCACACAGAGAACGCCGGATCTATTTCCACAGCAGAAAAACACTCATAACCGCGGCTTCTCATGGGCTTGCCAGGGCTTCTTAACAGGCTCTCATATTTTAAAAAAAGTCTCTCAGATTGGGGGGGGGCTCATATGATGTATTATGATATTAATTCACATCCCTGGGTGACTAAAGGAGAAAATCATGAAAGGCCGCATGAGGGCTGGAGGGACACCAAAGCAGAGCATCAACTGTATATACTGCGGAGCCAGAACTGGATCCTGGATTTTTACAAAAGGAAAAGGGAAGAGAAGGGAAGGGGAAAGGGAAGGGAAGGGAAGGGAAGGGAAAAGGAAAGGGAAAGGGAAGGGAAGGGGAAGGGAAGGGGAAGGGGAAAGGAAGGGAGGGAAGGAAAGGGAAGGGAAGGGGAAGGGAAGGGAAGGGGAAGGAAAGGGAGGAAAAGGGAAGGGAGGGAAGGGGAGGGAAGGGAGGGGAAGGGGAAGGGAAGGGAGAGGAAGGAAAGGGAAGGGAAGGGAGGGAAGGGAAGGGGAGGAAGGGAAGGGAAGGAGAGGAAGGGAAGGAAGGGAAGAGGGAAGGGAAAGGAGAGGAAGGGAAGGAAAGGGAAGAAGGAAGGAAGGGAAGGGAAGGAAGGGAAGGGAAGGGGAAGGGAAAGGGAAGGAAGGGAAGGGAAGGAAGGAAGGGAAGGAAAGGAAGGGAAGGAAAGGAAAGGAAAGGAAAGGAAAGGAAAGGAAAGGAAAGGAAAGGGAGGAAAGTGAGAGGAGGGAAGGGAAGGGGAGGGGAGGGGAGAGGAGGGGAGGGAAGGGAGGGAAGCTGGTGACAATCAGTGTATGGTAGCACTTGAATTCCAGTTAATACTGATGCTCACTCCTCCTCTGATCACTGTGCTGTGTACAGAAGACATAAACCATGGGGATGAAATTCAAAACACTCTACAAACATTCTGTAAAGCCAAAAGATCAAAGGTTCTTCAACTTGTCTTTTGACAAATATGCTATCTCTGCTAGTCAGTAAATTTGTGTTTCATTTACCAGTTAAATCTCAGGATGTAGCTGGGTATGATGGTATATGATTTTAATCCTAGAACTCAGGAGACAGAGGCGGGAGGATCTCTGTGAGTCAGAGACCATTCCTGTTTACATGGTGAGTTCCAGGACAGCCAGGACTACATAGAAACCCTGTTCCAAGAAAAAAACCCAAAAAAACAGCAGGCCCAGCATCTCCCTCTGCCTGCCAATCAGGATGTATCTCTCCTTCAACACCTGCCTGCATGCCACTATGCTCCCCACCATAATGATAATGGACTAGATCTCTGACACTGTAAGCAACCCCTCAGTTAAATGCCTTCTCTTGTAAGAGTTGCCTAGGTTATGGTGTCTCTTCAGAGCAACAGAGCACTGATAAGACAGCTAGGTTTCCAGGAGCAGTCATGGATTCCTTCTTGTTGAGAGGGTCTCAAGTGTAATTCAAGAGCTGTTGGTTACCATCAAGGTATGTGAGCTAGCTGAGAAGTGTTTGGAAAATGGAAATCAAAACTTCCCCGGTAGTTCATCTTTTTTCTTATTTGTAGAGTTTGGCAAGTTTGGGTACCAATCTGCATACCATTACTCCCAAGTAACTGGTTACTGTTAAATAATAAGCCCTTGGAATGAGTAGGTCCAAGTTGTTAGTGATTGCTTTTAATGTCTTTTGTTTTGTTTTGATTTTTGGGGGGTGGGGTTTGGTGTCTGAATACAGTTTCCCCTCTTTCAGAAATAAAAACACTTTTCTCTTATAATATTTTTATTATTTGGCTTGTTTACACTGAGGACTTTCTCTGATCCATTGGAATTTCCTGTAAATAGACAAATGGAAAGACTCTCCCTCTGTACAGTTAACTAATCTAACACTACCACCTCCCACATGGGTTTATAATGCTCCCTTCACCAGCCACACACACATATATGCACACACAACTACACACATATAGACATACACAGGACTATACACACACACACATATGCACACACAACTACACACATACCGACATACACAGAAATACACACATACACACACACGTTTCATTTTGTAAATGTTTCTTGGTTGGTTTTTTTTGGTTTTTTGGGGGGGTTATGAAACATGGTTTCTCTGTATTGTTTTTGAGGCTATTGGTCCAGCCTGGCCTCGAACTCACAGAGATCCACCTGCCTTTGCCTCCCTAGTGCTGGGATTAAAGGTGTGCGCTGCCACCACCGCCAAACATTCTATAAAATCACCCCTAGAAACTTTAAAATCTGAATGTTGCATTAAAATAGCTTTAGACTGTATAGATGTGTGGATATTCAAAATAATCTACAGTTTGGCACACACTTATTTGGAGCCTATAGGACAGAAATTACTAAGAGAATCTGCAGTAAGTCGGTCAGCCTTACTGTGGAGTTCGCCTGTTTCCACCATCACAACATCCATCATCCTGAGTCATGTTCCTCTGCTCACATGCCTGCCTTCTCCTCCAAACTGAAGTGTGTGGAAGAACAGTATGTGGCAAACATTTCTGCATCCCCAGCACATCCTGCCTGGTCCATATCGCATCTCAGCATAAATTTAAAAAAAAAGTTTGCCTCCTGATACTACCTCCATTATCTCAACCTTTCCAAAGACCCTGAAAAGCCAAGCAGGTTTCGCTACAGTTACAAAGGAATACATCACCAAGTGAGGGGGAAGAAAAGGAAGAGTTGAATAGTTAGAGGTTAGTTTGTCTCTCTTCGATCATTCAGCAAATGTTTGCTCCATTCCCACCCTGTACATACATAACTGGTCTTAAGAACTGTGGGAAATACAAGCCCTTAGCTTGAATTTGCCTTCGGGGGAAAAGGGAGAGAGAGAGAGAGAAAGTCAGGCACATAGAACAACTGATAGCACAGTGAGTTTGACTGGGCAAGAGAAATGCCTTTGGGGTGAAACAAAGAACTATTCAACGACAGTGGGGACTTCAGCATGTCAAAATGCCAAAGCAAACTCCTCTCATGCCAAGGCCACATTCTATGATACCTTCGATCCTCTCACAGAGCTTATGCAAAGAGTGCATGGGGCAGGCCTCACACAGCTTGATCTGTGTCTTGGCACTCTGCAGTGCAGCAGCCGTGCTGAAAGCTTGCTTGAGAGTCAACATGATTTCATCCACCTACAGGAAGAAACAGAACTATAAACAGGTCTATAAAAGTTGGCTTTCACGCACACACACACACACACACACACACACACACACACACACCATCAGCAATGCGAGCCTGTGTAGATGGCTGGCTAAATAATAAATAATAGAATTCTGATGACTAGCTGAGCTGGCAGAGAGCAAACAGCAAGTACTGAAGTCAGATCTTTCATCCATCTAATTAAAGGCTGGATGAAAAGACCATTGCATTCTGTGGCATATAATACGGAGCTGTTACTCGAACGCTATTTTCAAGTCCCACGGGCAGCTATACTACCACAGACAGCTTAATTAATAGATCAAATCTTTGCTTAATTAAATGACTTATCAGATAAACATGTCTTTGGAAGTTTCCTTGGACATGTATTGAGAACAATAAATTAGAATCGATGTTCAATTGTGTTAATAGGCACCCTTTTCTTCTAGGTTCCTGTTAGTGTAAAGGCAAACTACACTTGTGTTTGCGGACAGTTCTGAGGGGAAGCAATCTCAAGGTAAGTAGCAGTGGGGAAATCGATGAGCACCGCTAGCCTTGTTTCTACACTGTCTGACTTACTGCCATTCTACTTATAGTTTGTGAGTCTTAGGTGTGACATCTACATGCTCACAAGCTAGCTGTCACCGCAGGGACAGCAGCCCAGGATGGCCAGCCTTGTTCTTGTACTGGTCCAGCATTGACTCAGCTGTATACCATCCCCTCTGCTCCTTTGACGCCGGGTAGTTCCTCCTCTTCCTCCGTCGCCTTGTCTGTGACAAGGCTACTAAGGGAAGGGGAGCTGTCCCCACACTGCAGGATTCTAGCAACATTCTAAAACCCTCGTGGAAGAGATAATGGATCCTAACAGTCTCATCCCAACCAGGTCTGGTAAGACAGCCACCTGTCATGCTTAGTGGACTGGGTTAGTTCCACTTTCCATTTTCTCCGACAGCCTGGTTTAAGCAGAAGTTGTTTTGAAAGAATATGGATCCCCTTCTGCATTTGCAGGGGAGAGGAGTCTGGGATACGAAGAAACTCTACCAGCCTATTGAAACCGAAAGGAGACCTCAAAACCCTAAGCAAGCAGCCACCATTGTTACTTTTCACAGTATGTCCAGCCTTAGAAAAACATAGGAATAACTTCACAGCACTCCATAAATGAAAATAAATTTTCATAAAACGTCACTTTATGCTACAGTGAAAAATAACCTCATTTTTAGAACTAAAAGTATTTAATGTCTTTACAGTTTTATGCCATTTACTTAGTTTCTATTCAAAGGCAAATTAATTATTTATGCATATATTCCTTTATTCTATTTCTTGTTTCTCATTTATGTCAAGACACTGATGGGGCTGGCAATGGATTTGGTAGTACACAGCATGTGTGTGTGTGTGTGTGTGTGTAATCTTTACATAAACATACAGCATATGTGAACACCTTACACATAATTGATATGCATATGTGTGGTATTTGTTACATAAAATTTTTGCCTTACAAAAGGTATTCTGTGTAAATGTATATGTTTTACTTTCTTTTTCTAGATGAAACACCCTTTCAATGGTTTCTGAAATGTGACTACTAACCTCTCCTTACCACAAATACTACTGAAAAATCCGTCTGTACTACAAAATATTATGTGTTTTCTTTTCTAAAACCCACTTTTTCAGATCCCCTATAAATTCCATCACAAGGCTAATGCCTTAAAAGTTCAAGTTAGAGCACTATGAATAAAATAAAAAATATCGCAGGTCATGTCAAAAGGGCAAAAGCAAAGGACAGGAAGAAATGTCAGTCATATACAAACAAAATGCAAGTATTCTTGGCAGTCACCTCCTGGCACAGTTCCCATGTCACCAAACAGCATGAGATCAGACAAAATTCATTCATATTAATAGGACAATCCATGGTGAAGATAATGTCTACAGATAGACCAAACTTAAGTTTATATTAAATTTTAGATAAAAATAACTGAAGGTCATCTAGTCTTATTTTGCTAGAAAACGACTCTAATTTTTCAAGGTATCCCGGGAATACTGGCATTTTAACAACTGCTGCTAAAAGGCAATGATCAGTTTAAGAGGCTGACCAGCTACATAATGGAGTGCCCGCTATGTGTCAGGCTGAAGTCACGATCACCACGCTTATCCTGCGTTCGAATCCTCATACCACTTGTTCATACGCCCAGTCAAGTCCCATCGGTCCTGAGACCAAATGATATCAATACTAAAGAAGCTTTTATAAATTAGTCCCATTTCATGAATCATATGTCTTTCTTCCTTCCCATTTACAACACAACCCCAAAATTTGAATCTGACCTTTCACCCATTCTCCACATATTGTTTGTTTCTTATATATTAAAGATTTATTTTTACAAGTACCATTCACATCAGAGATGAGAGAAAGATAACTTCTAGAATATGAACCTCATTTTTATTAATGGCCATGACTTTTCTTATAATCTGTAAATCAATTTGGAAGGAAGTACTATGAAGAGATTATATTTTCCACAAAATGTAAGCATTTGTGAGGCAGTATCAGCTGCGTCCCTAGAGGTCAAGAAGGGAGAAGGGGGAGGGTAGCATCTAAAGTTGTACATAGCCCTGCAGGGCCCATCCTAGAACGGATAGTTCCCAAATCCCATTACAGTTGCTACAAAGAAGCAAAGAAAAGTGGTAACTGTGTAGCCGGTACTCAGCAACACAAGTCAGCGTAACACAAGTCAGCGTGTGTGGTCTTGGAACATTCTGTCTTCTACAACCGCCAAGCCACAGCACTCACCAAGCTGCGGGAACCTTATAATTGACTTGACTATTTTTTCTGTTCTATTTGTCAGGGCTTGAGCTACCCTCTGTTACACAGGAAGTGCGCATTGTATTTCTCTTCTAACTTTCAGTTCTGGTGCTACACGATGCAGTTAAGAAGCTGACTGATAAAATTCTAGCAGAGGCGGTTTAAGAGATCTTTGCTTTGATCTATTTTTAAAAGTAACAAGGCCCAAGCTCAGCCTGATAGTGCCTCATGGAACAGGAGGGCACAGCCAAAGTGGTCTGCAGCCTCCGCCAAGATGTCCAAAGGCCAGGCAACCAACATCTTCTACCATCATTAGCAGCTTCCAAAACAAGCAAAAACAAACTAAACACTAAACATGAAATAAACTTTGTAAACAAGAACCCAAATAAATGGGTCTTACCAAGTTCTTCCTCTTGGGAAAGAGATATAATGAGCACATTTGATTGTCCCTAGACTGTGAAAGTCTCTGTCCTTATGAGCAAGGTGAACAACCTGCCATCTAAAGTTTAAAAACATGAAGGACAGCAAGAAAAAAAGTTGACTTAACTGTGAAGACTGTGAGCATGGTGTGTCAGGGCCAGTCACCAGCTATCCACTATGATCATCTAAGGACAACTCCCTCAAAGTTCAGTCCTGGTTCCTAAATGGAATCTATTTAGCTAAGAGGGGACACCTGGATAGTTACGTGTGGATATTTATTTAGTAACATTAATTATCTAGAGGGAAAATGAAGCTCAAATGGAAGTTTCTAGAATACCAAATTGCTAAGAACAGGCATTTCGCATTCCCTAGAGAAAAAATGCTGGAGACCCCAGAGGACAAGGAATCAGAAATTGCCTTTGTGCCAGTTCACTGGAAGGTCTTCAGTGTCTTGGTGTCCTTACCAGGCACATGGAGGTCAGACTTTGATGTCACAAGCCCCAGGAAGCATGCACACTGTGGCCTGAAATAATCGTATATGGGAAACGCTGATAGGAGGCCTATATATTTATAACAACTCTGGTGGAGGGTTGGGGATTTAGCTCATTTGATACAGTGTTTGCCTCACAAACCTGCGTTAAATCCCTAGAACCCATGCTAAGATATTTGGTGTGGTAGCATGTGTTTACCATCCTATGCTAGAGAGGGTGACAGGAGGGTCCGTGGAGCTCCCTGGCCAGCCAGCCTAGCCTAAATGGTGAGCACAAAGAAGACAAACACCATTTCTTAAGGTAACACCCAAGATTGTCCTCCGACCTCCATTCATGTAGGCATACGTGTACATGTGCATGCATACAGATAAATGCAAACACTTGCACACACAAACATGCACACACACTCACATACTAAAATTATAAAAATTAACATTTTTCCATTAGTGCATCTAATAATGGTGATGCACACATCTGAATGTTTGTCTGACAATGGATGAGAAGCCTGCACATTTGGAAGAACAGAAAAAAACTTTGAGAAGAAAAAAAAAGTCAGCGTGCTTCTCAGCGAGATGTATTTCCAAGCCTGCCTTACATAGTTCTTCTCAAATAGAAAGAGGTAAGGAGGGATAGAGGAAAACTGACTTGAAAATTCCAAAGAGACAAAATAAATGATGTGTTTTGAAAAATTAAGACAGGGTAATTAAAAACTGGGGGGAGGACAGTTCTTTACTCCTCCTGATGGAAGTATTGTCTAATCTGTAACACCATAGCAATAAGCAAAAGATCAGTGGCCTTTGTCACTGTCTTTAAGCAGCAGGAAACACAACAGCTTTTCTCTGTCATTAGTCTTCTCCACTTAAAAACAAAAAACAAAATAAACAAACAAAAAAAAAACATGGTAACACAGTAAAGTCCATTGAAGCCAAGGGCACACACACTTATAAGTGCAGTGATGTCTGTCTGCGGCTCTTGACTTCTGTGTATCCTCCATGGGTAAAACCATCTCTCTAGATGCCCTTTTTCTTTCCTCACCGAGTGCTGGGTTCCAACAGATGAGACTGTAAGATGGGTAGATCCACTCACAGAAGCACTGAGCGGCGACAACCCCACTTACCAGAGATTGGTTGGCACACTGGAACACATAACAGATGTACTGGCTCAGACCTGGCTCTGGAGACTCCCGACAGATAAAGCCAAAGTGATCAACATGCTTTATTCCCTAGATGATGGAAAAAACACAATATAGGCAGTGCTTGTGGGAACGTCTCCTGGTAGAGAGCATCACGATTTCTACAATTCCCTAACTCCACCAATTTCTCCTTCATGGCAATGTGACATAATGTCATGTGGCAGGAGACATAGCCCTGAGAGGATGTTCTGTTGATGGAGCAGACACAGGGGACATCCACTCATACCCTTTGGGTTTTGATTTTTTTAAAAATCACCAGTACGATCCATTATTTCACATAAGGAAAACCTGATGCTTGCCTGTAATGAGGTTTCAATTTATTGTCCTAGCACGATAGTCAATGATTCACCACAAAACCTTTTCTAGTCTATGTGAAGCTAAGAATGTCAGAAGAAGTACAAGAGGCAGTCCTCAAATTAAGTACTGAATGGTTCTGTGAAGTTTGTATGGAAATTGCTGGAGTACTTGTTATAGATATTCAAGGAACCAAATAAGAAACATTGATATTCTTGTTCACTTGTTGGCTAATTACTGCAAGTGCCAATTATCCACCTTCACAAATATTTGTATTTTCCGTATTCAAGTTAAAAGATTTCAGCTCTATTTAATTAAAAATTCAGGCTGGCAGTGGTGTAGCTTGGTCTCCTATCAGCAGCAGCAGGGGCTGTTTCTGGCTCTTTTGCTGGCTTTTGAGACCCTATCCCTTCCAATAAGTGACCTTGCTCAATCTTAACAGGAGATGAGGTGCTTAGTTTTTCTGCAACTTGATAGGCCATGCATTTTTCTGAATAGAAATGGAAGAAGATTGGATGGGGGAGGCAGAGGGAAGGGGGGAAGGGGGGAACAGGGAGGAGAGGAGGGAGAGGGAACTGTGGTCTGCATGAAAAATAAATTAAATTTAAAAAATATGTAAAATAAAATTTGTATTAAAAAATTCAATGGGGGGGGAGGGATGGCTCAGCAGTAAACTTGGTGCACAAGCCTGGAAAATGAGTTCAATCCCCGGAACCTGCACAAAGTGGGGAGGAGAGACCCAATTCCACAACGCTATCCTCTGACCTCTACTCCTGTGCAATAGTATGCATGCATACACACACTAATAGTAAATCAATACATTTTCAAAATAATGTTTCAGTGTAAAGAACTGAGTCTCAATACACACACCAGTAAGGAATCAGTACCCTGTTCCAATAGCAAGCACAGTGGTTTGAAAACGAGGTTGACAGAAAATATGAAGCTTGCTTGACTTCACCTAAAAGCGAATGAAGAGTCTTTGCGGTCAGATTTGCACTTAGCATTGCTTCAGCTACTGACTGGGGAATGAGGTGCTGTGCTAAGGGGCTGGCTGCTGTCTCTGAGACTGTTTCTTTTTTTTTTTTCAATACAAAATAATATAACACAGAGTGAGTCCCAGGACAGGATCCAAAGCTACAGAGAAAACCCTATCTTGAAAAACAACACAACAACAATAACAAAAATAGCATAACATCACCTACTACAAGGAAGGTGTGGAAGCTAGAACTGAAAAGCGACTATGAAGGTTCCAAGAATGTTTTATGGGTAGTGGCCCTATTCTTTCTTGTTATACTCAATCTACACATCTACACATTGGACATGAAAAAAGAAATGAATTTTGTCTTTGTTTTGTTTTGTTTTTAAGTGTGGGAGAAGCAAAGGGGAGTGTGTCTGTGAGTATTGTAAAATAAGCTCCATCGGCACAACTCTGGTGAGAGAGCTTTTACCACTGGCTTAGAACTAACTGGGGCGGGGGGACCTCACCTGCTTATTATCTCAGTGGGTCTTCAGATGTGGACAATGCTTTCAGAAAAAAAGAAGGAAGGAAGGAAGGAAGGAAGGAAGGAAGGAAGGAAGGAAGGAAGCATTCCCTGACTCCCATGATGACCAGTAAACAGTGACAGCACTTCCCTTTCAAAGACAGAAACATCTGTAGGTATAAGGTACAGCAGTCCAGTTACTGGCTACCTTGCACCAATCCACCTCCTGTGAGGCAGTTGTGGGAGTGGGTGAGGAGCCGGGGATGAAACGGCTATGACTGGAGGCATCCCACCAGGTTCCTCTGGCTGCTGCCTGATTGTTTCCTGCACCATACACCATAGCACAAAGCTTGACCTCAGTAAAAGGCAAAGGGACAGGAGACCATACTTGAAGTTCCCTGTCCACATGCTTGTCTGGATCTACTCTTTGTCTTTGGGTGTGCTTACATTCTCTGGGACAATCAATGCACACTGGTGTATGCTCCCTAGGCAGCTTAGGAAAGGGGACAGGAGGCTCTGCCTTCAGTGGCGCTCCTTGGTGCCCAGTGAGCTAAACATGGGTTACACACCACTTTTGCTATAGCACTTGGCACAGGGCCAGCTACGGAGAAGGGCTTATTCACCATGGTCACGTGGTGAACACCTAAGCGCTCCATCTCAATACATGAGAGTCTATGTCCCACCAAACAAGGCATGTTCACACTGTAAGTCACCAACTCCTTTAAGGCTTGTGATCTTGCAGGGACCTCCCAATCGACAGACAACTGCAAGAATGCTGCATGAATATTTCTTATTCCCACAAGATCTCTGTGTCCCTTAAATAGGAATTTCAAAGTTCGTAATATACCATTCCTGGATTCAAAGGTTCTCTAAGTTGCTACAGTAGAAAATGTTTATCACTCAAATTTTCCTATTACAGGAACAATAGGAAAACAAGGGTGTTAAAAATAAAAGTGTATTAGCTAAAGCAAATAACTAGCAAGACATACAAAAAATATACTTGCCATCAAAAGAAACTCTGAACGTCACAACAAGCAACACTGACTCCAAAACTTAAAGAGAAGACACTACTAAAGGCATGGCTTTCTTGTGTAGAAGTGTGAGCCTTGGTCTTTAATGGCTGAGCTGTCTCTCCAGCCTGATCTTTCAACATCAGAATGTTAGGGCCCAGTAAAGAATACATCCCTGAATGCACTTAAAGTCACCAGGCCAGAAACAAAAGGTAATTCTCAATCCCACCCAGTGTCTTTGAATAGGTAACCTTTCCACATTTTAAATTAAATATACCTTCTTTTCTGGCAGGTAAAATTTTTCTCCTCATGTTTACAATATATTCAGGTAGCTCAAACTTTGGGGTAGATGCTCTAAAACATTACTATAATCTATGACTAATATTACATTGTGCACGTTTATCTATCTCTATTGGGTTTTTAGTCAAAATTTACCATTTTTGGTAACAGACACTAAAGAGACTACTTCTCCTTTTATTACCTGCTGTGGGATAAAGAACATACTTATCTTGGTGACACCCACACGACCCACAGCCCAACAGTCTGAGGAACACTAACTGTGAGGTATTTCAAAAGAATTCACCACCACAAAACTCCCACCAGCAGAAGGGACTTGATGAAACATCACTAAGACAGAGAGCGGAGGAAAATGAGGAAGGTGCTGTGACAGACACTTGGGTCCTGGCAAGGACTCTGTTGCCATAGAGCCAAGCACATGAACACATTTTAATTACAAGGGACAGCTGTTCTTTAAAACGTTGTCTTATGTTTGGGCTCAATGATGGAGCAACTGGCCAGTGGGTGTAAGAAAAGTCCTAGGTCCATTCCTCAGGGGAAGGGAAGGGAGGGGAGATGAAAGACAGGGAGGGAGAAATAAAAAAACACTTAATTTCAGAATAATAAGATGTGGTATATGGAAGCCCAGTTGTTGTGCAATTAATTTTGGAACATGACAATTGATTTCTTCAAACACTGTGCTGTGGCGTGAAGACTTACCTGAGAACAAGAAGATATATCTTTAAAATTCTTCTCCAGCACAACGGATTTGGTATCTGGACTGATGAGGTTAATCTCAAAGCGGCCGACCTTTAAAGGGAAGGAAAAGTACTCCAATCATGTCAGCTCACGAGGACCTCAGTCTTACAGCAATGGTGGTTCAATAGATGTGACCCGGACACGCCTCTTTCACGTGTGTTCCACCATATAATTCAACCCAAAGGTAGCTGTCTCAAATCATTTCTTTCCTCGTCGGAAAATTAAGCAACCCCTAAACTGTAGAAAGCCAAAGAATACAAATCTCTTTAGCAGTTAAGAAATGACTTCCTTTTCAAAAACATGTGCTACCTGGGGCTGGAGAGCCGGCTCATTAGTTTAAAGCACTTGTTGCTCTTGAAGAGGACGAAGGTTCAATTCCAAGTACCACATGGTAGTTTGAAACCATCCATAACTCCAGTTCCAGGGGATCTGATGCCTTCCTCTAACCCCACAGGTACCAGGCGGGATCATGGTACACATACATATATGCAGGCAAGGCACTTATACCCATAAAATAAATAAATCCAAAGAAACCTCTTTTTAATATGCAATCTTTCCTCGAGTCATTATAATAAGATGCTCTCTCAAAAACAGTCAATAAAATGACATATGCTGAACTGGGCTCAGTTACATTATTGGAAAATAGATATTCCAAAAAGCTAACAGGAAGAACTATAACTAGCAGAGAACAAGTCTGGCAGTCCAAAAAGAGGGGAAAGTGACTTCACACCTTGCCACACAAAGGACTAGAGCCACTCTGCCCACAAGCCCCCACAGGAATGGACAAGACAATGACAAAAATGAAGAACGCAGGCCCCAGATCAGCCACAGACTAACTACAGACTTCTAGAGCAGTATCATACAATTCTTCAAGTGAAATGTTTTCCATAACCCTGTATATTTTTAAACCATTTTTAAGATAAAAAACTATCTTGTAGAGGTACTAAAAAGATGGCTCAGTGGTTAAGAACACTAGCTGTGCACACACAAGGACTAGAGTCCAGGTCCTAGAAGTCACTTAACAAGCTGGTCTCGGTCTTAGATGCATTGTGATGTCAGCATTAGGGGGGTTGTGGGGAGGCAAACAGAAGAGATAGCAGAGGCTTGCTGTCTACCAGCCTACTTGGTGAAGAATTCTAGGTTCAAGAGGAAGCCCTCACAGGAATAGGGCAGAGAGTGACAGAGACCAAAACCTACCTTCTTCACGTTAGGCTGGCATATGTCCTGGTATCGGTTTCAGACATACGTGCACACATCATAAACTCCCTCTCCTTCCCTCCCCATCTCTTTCTCTCTCACACATATACAGGATTATTTTTTACATTCAATGTAGCTGTATCAAGTTACTTAATAATTGATCTAGTGAATCATCAGACCAATGGTGTTCCTTTACTACTCCATTTCTGGTGGCAGAGTAAACTGGCATGTGTATGAATAACATCTGTTAAGTCTCTGGAACCATACTCACTCTCCTCTCTCTCTCTCTCTCTCTCTCTCTCTCTCTCTCTCTCTCTCTCTCTCTCTCCTGCTCCTCCTCCTCCCTCCCCCCTCCCCCTCCTATCTCTCAGAATTCACTTTGCTCTGCTCCAATCCTGCTTTCCAGGATTCACTCCTTATACTCATTCCTAAGACTCTGTAGCTTTACCGAAGAAAGCATCTGAGAATCAACCCAAACCAGATGCTGGAGATGGACACCTAGGATCTGTCACGTGACTTGTCACAGATGTTATGAGAAGTCTTGCATTCTCTCTGCCTCCCTGTGGTCCATGACATGTCTGTGTTCTCCCTCTGATTCTTCTGCTTTTGAAGGAGAGAATCGCAATAACAGAAGTGTTTACTGTGGCCACCGGAATGAGCAGGAAGAGAAGACTGGCAGATGGGGACAGGACTACTGGGAGGATAGCTTAGTCCCTCAGATACATGCAAGAGGACCTCAACTCCAAGAGCCAAGTTTTGTTTTGTTTAAAGCAGGGCATAGTATAGCCAATGCTGGGAAGAAGAGAAGTGAATACCTGGGACTCTTCTAGCCAATCAGCCTTCCATACTTCCAGAGATGCAGACCAGTAAGAGACCCTGCCTTAAAACAAGGTGGATGATGCCTAAGGAAGGGTCCCCAAAGGTTGACCTCTGGTCTCCACATACACTCAGGCACATGTGGGCACCACACACGTACAAATGCGGGCACCACACACGTACAAATGCACGCAGGCACACACCCACTGACCAGGGAGATTCTGTAGCTGCTCAGCATCTTAAGAAGCTGTAAGCCAAAATCCCCCTGCCGGGCTACCTGGAAAAGCATGGTCCTGTTCTTCTCCGAATCCGAGGGCTGCACGTGACTGGGCGCGCTTGCATGCCTCCTCCTTGGCTGTGGTTTCTGGCTGTTCTCGTGAACCTTCTTCTGCAGGACGCCTGTGACGCTGCTGCACCGAGACCGGAACTCCTGTTGCTCATCAAAGCCACAATCTTCCAAAATCCTCTCCGGGAAGCCAACCCGAGGGCTGGTGGGTGCCGGTTGGCTGGCCTGGGTGGGGAGGCTGGCCAGGGCGGACAGGGCACTGTGGCTGTTGACTGCATCATCTGCCTTCTCCGGCAGGCTGTCATCTGGGGACACAGGAGACTCAGCCTCAAAGATACCCAGCTCGTCCCCAGGGTCACCACCTTTGTCGCCCTGCAGCTTCAGTCGCTGCTGCTCATGCAGGCTGAATTTCTCCTTGCAGTCATCAATGAGGCTGGAGGGCGCCTTCTTATGGGTAACGATCACCCTCCCACAGTACAGCACTTCAAACTTCTGAGAGTTATAGAAGGCATCCTCGTTGTCTTTGCTGGGTTTGGAGTCCTCCTTCAGGGCAGCCTTGGATAGTTGCCTGATGCTACTGATCACATCCGGAACCTGGGGAAACAATTGAAGTCCTCCTTTTAGTGTGATCATTTCTGTTTACCTGTCCTGTTGGGAGCACAGGGAACAGATTTTCATCCTGAATGGCAGAACACAGGAGGCACTGCTGCGCCTACAGGAGACAGAGCTGGTGACTCGGCACTACTCTGACACAAACTGCTTCAGGGTGAAAACTGAAATTTAATGGGAGTATTTAACTATAGCAGTGTCAGTCAGTCAGGTAAAGTGACTCGTACCTGTAATCCCCTGGTGTAGGCTGAAGCTGGAGGGATTGCTCTGAGTTGGGGGCCAACCTGGGCCATGGAGTGAGGAGACACTCTGTCAAAAACAACAACAAGCAAGTAGCAGTTTGTCCAACGCAGGACATGAGACTGCTCAGGTCACGGAACCTTCGACACGTTCATGGGTAAAAGTTTCAGCGCACCCCTGCTGGATGGAACAGCAGTTCCAACAGTGATGTAAAAACCAGCTGCTCAGCCGGGCGGTGGTGGCGCACGCCTTTAATCCCAGCACTCGGGAGGCAGAAGCAGGAGGATTTCTGTGAGTTCGAGGCCAGGCTGGACCAACAGCCTCCAAAACAATACAGAGAAACCCTGTCTCGTTAAAAAATAAATAAATAAATAAAAACCAGCTGCTCTCATCAGCCAGCTAACACCACCAAAACAGGACGTTACTGGAGATGGCGACACCTGGAGGACTCGGTGGATGGGGAGTGGCAGTTCCCAGGCACCTTATGTGGGAATGCTAAAGGACGCATAGCTTCACAAAACTGTTCAACAACTTCTTAGACGGAGCCAAGTGCCTGCCAAGTGGACGTTGGGAGTCAACCTGGGTCTTCTGCAAGAACAGCAAGTGCTCTTAACTGCTACGCCATCTCTCCAGCCCCTTGGAGGAACTTTTTCGCCTTTTTTTTTTTTCATTCCTATCATGAAAATGATTCGGGTACAGCGTCCGAGTTACATACAGTCAGCTCCTCACTACTTTCTGCCAAGTCCTCTGGGCTGTGTATTTGACATTTCTTTGTTGCTGTGTGGAGAATGGAGACCTCTCCATGAAAGTCTAACCAGTGACTGAACTGCCATAGCAGCTGGGACTCTTTTCTGTGACCACAGAAAAGGGCCCAACGCCTCGGTGACATACAGTAAATGGCTCCATTGACACAGGCAGAGGCTGTCATCCTGAATTCTAAACTGAGTGGATCGTTTAACCTTCCAGTAATTTAACATGTTTACACCATAAAACCCATTCCAATTGTCTTTAATATCTCCTCCCAGACTATAAGTCACCATAACTTCAGTGACCCAAGCCACAGATGCTAACCACAAAACCTAGCTGAGAAGATCCAGCTCTGTGTATGCCTCTCCTTATGTGAAAGACGAGGAGAAGCAAATCGAGCATCCCACAGCCCCTGCCTGCACACCCGTTGTGCATGAGAAAGGGCACGCTGTCCATTACCATTACTGCGAAGATAATAAGGCACACGCAGTAGAGACATGTTATCAGAGAAACAAACACATATGCATACACATACACACACGAATACACATATATACACATACATATAAACATACAAACACACACACACACACACACACACACGTTCCTTTTTGGTGTTTGCTTATGGAATCCACCAGAAACATTGTTAATAGAAATAAAGTCTTTCTCCAATACTGGCACAGACTTGTTTTAATAGAATTAATAACATTATCTTGTAGCACAGGGCTAAATGGTGTGTTGTATCTATCTGTGCAGTTAGGAATACTGCTGCATAAATATGAGCCCTCTGTGCATATGTTACGTCTCCATCTCTTTCCTGTACACTGACATGTGAGTTTTTATTTGAGAAAAGATGCAAAGCTGCAGTAATTTGTGTCTTACCAGAATTCTCTGTGATCAATAGGAAAAGCTTGGGCTTAATACTTAAAGGAACACTGTGGTGTGTGTGTGTGTGTGTGTGTGTGTGTGTGTGTGTGTGTGTGTGTGTGTGCGCGCGGCGCACGAGCTGATACTTATATTCAGAAGATGCGGCCGCCTCAAAAATGAGGAACCATAGCTTCTCCCTCTGCTCATTGCTCACCAGAGTGGGAAGTGCCAATGTATTCCCACAGCACACCCAAATGCTGCAGCACACCCTATCGTATACACTCCAGCTGTGTGTCCCGGTTATTTGTGTTCTGGCAACAAATATCTCCACTGCTCAGAAGCAGCCTGCAGCCCACGCAGCCTGATTCAGACTTAGAGTTAATTCAAGGCGCTGTTTTTTATTCTGGGCAACGTTTACTCTCTAGCAGAAACAAAACCAGAAAAGATGCCAACCAGCTAGACACTAGGAAGTTTACATTCCACAGCCAGCTCCGCCAAAGCTCTGCTCAGTTCCCACTGGAGAGGTCTTTTGCCTCTGGAAACCAGAGTTGTCTCAAGACTGGAAGGCCCCTGATGCTCAGAGTTCACTTAGACTTAATAGAAGAAAAAGAAAACTTCTGTCATTTTAACGTTAAGTCAGAAAAGGCCTACATTGTTGGAGTTTTTCAGTTCCAGTAATGCATGATGACTTAATGGGCAATTCAATGAAGGAAGCTTCTCTAAGTGTCTTGTTCCATGCAGAAAAAGCAACGGTGCCACCTTTAGCTGGTGTTTTGTTTTTCCACCCCCTGAGATTCAATAAAACAACAGATCCAGTACCAAGATTCAGACATTACAGCAGTGCACACTCTAGATCCCTCCAGGTCCCCTCCCCATAGCTCCTTTGATGCCGTGCTATTTATCATCAATCAATTATTACTAGTTAACATATTAAAAATATTTGTGCTTTCAAACTACAATTTGCATAACTCAAAAAGAACACCAAATCTACCACCACCACACGTATCTAAAGCAGTGGTCCTCAACCTTCCTAACATTGTGACTCTTTAATACAGTTCTTCAAGTTGTCATGACCCCCTCAGCCACAAAATTATCTTCATTGCTACTTTATAACTGTAATTTTGCTACTGTCGCTATTCATACTGTAAATATTTTTGGAGGTAGAGGCTTGCCAATTGGGGTGACACCCATTGATTTAGAACCACTGGTCTAATGGGCTAAGAAAACCCTGGAGTGCAAAAAGCACCAAGGAAAGATATCTCAGATTAGGAAGCCAGCAGACACTGACACCCTCATAGACAACCTGGAGTGTGTTAGACCAGGGCTTCCCCAGCTGTCCCTCTCTGTGCCTCTCTCTTTCCAAATAAGCCAGCCGTATAGTCTTGCTGGTGGTGTTTAAGTCCACACGGTCACTGCGTGGCCGATAAGAAGACTCCCAACCGTAGCTGCTTCAAAAGTGGAATATCTCCTGAGTCCACAGCCAGGAAAATACACAGGGTGCTAGGAGTGAAGGCGCCAAAACTTTGGCTTTTTTAAAAAGAAGAAATGCTTTATTGCATCTTTTCTTCTGCTCTTCTTTAATCATGTGTCTTCCAATTACTAGCTATACAGATAAGAGAAGATTATCTGTAGTAGGAGGTCACTTGCCTAACAGGGCTCAGATGTCCATCAGTAAATACTTTTAAAGGGATGCAAACAGGAAAGGAAGAGTGTGCTTCCTAAAATAATGCTCTAAAAGATGAATTAGGTCCTTCTTTACAGCCGGTGCAATCTTAGCTGATTGGTTCACTATTAATCTTTTTCTAATAGTTACAAGTAGGCACAGCAGTATTGAAATAAAGGAAAAAACACAAATGTTGAGGAAAAATATTACAGAACACGTGAAAGGAGCCTTCGACTGGGAATAAGAGTTCAAAGTGGCCTCGCCCACATGGAAAGAATATGGAGTCCGTCTTTTGAATAATGTATGCCCTTGGAGGAAGGGAAGTTCTTTGTAATTCTGCTCTGATTAAGAAACAAGATTCTAAGGGTGGGAGAGATGGCTGTGTGGTGAGGAGGTGAGGAGCGTGTTTGCTCACACGGAGAACTGAGTCTGGTTCCCAACACCCACTCACGGTGACTCATAGACACCAGTAACTGCAGCTCCGGGAGATCTGATGCCCTCTTCTGACCTCTGCAGGCACTAGCACTAATGTGCACAAACTCCACACCAGCACACTTAAGAAACAGAATATAGATTGTCTAGGCAGTGTGATCTGTTGGAAGTAACATGGCATAAAGTGAAATCGAGCATTTTAAGAAAGAGTGGTTTGGTAACTCAATGTTATCCTTTCTATTGGACTCCTTAGAAATAGAGGACAATGGGAGGTGTGCACGCCATGAAGCAGTTTGTTTACATTAGAGACGCACACGCTGAGCTGCTTTTCCAGACACCAATGCCTTGGCAGCACACTCAGTTCCTACAGTAGAGTGAGAGGGGGCTGTCTGAAAACTTCCTCGTCACATTTTAAGATGATATCTTCCCTTGCAGCCCAGGCTGATCTCATATGTTGAAGCTTGTGCAATCCACTACCGCGGCCTCCCAAGCAGCAGGGACTACAGACACATGCTGTAACATACAGCCTCGATTCTAACGTTTCCCCACAAGTCCTTCAGATTCTTTGCATTTAGTTTAAAAACCTAAGTTATTGTTCCCAAGTAAATGCAGCACAGTCAGATAAAGTTTCATTTGGGGGTGAGTGCAGATGTAAAATAGACTAGAGTAATGGAGTGAATTTAATATAATGAGACTGTAAAGCTCCCGGTGCCCTGGCGAAGTCTCTAGTCTACCCCATCTTATTTCAAAACAAATGTCTTACATCAAAAGTTAAAGCAATAAGGAAGATAATGAGATTAAAAGAGTCTATTCCGGGCCAAAGAAAGCAGAGCCCAGTAGCTCTGTGACTTGAACCAGACTCCTACAAACAGATTTGGTTTTGATCTCTGGGCTATGAGCCAAGATGCTTTCCTCATAGCCCAGGGTTGTTTCAGTTCTTAGCAACCCTCAGCTGCTTTGCTTCAAACCCTAGTAACACCCCAGCTTTTCTCTCGCTGCTCTTTTCCTGACACTGAGTTAGCATGGAGGCAGGTCT